ACGGTGCTGAAAATGAGCGGCATTGAATTTTCTACCTTCAGTTAAACTAGCGTGAAATCGAGGATGTGGTGCATTCGGCCACCAATTAACGTATTCGAACCTATTTAGTTTTCCTTTTTTGTTTGATGCTCTGGAAGAGCAGGGAAGCAATCTTCTTGATGCGCTTTTGTGCAATAATGTGAGTGTAACGACTGCAAGTACAGGGGTGCATTAAAAATGATGTGACAGGGCTACTTGCAACTTGTTGAGATTAAACGGTGTACTTATAGTGAGCTCACATGGACGCCTATTCACAAACGCTCCTCGACTCAAAACTCACCGTCAAGGTATCCTCGAGCACTGTCTCAAAACGAGTTTTTTCAAGGAAGACCTAATTCCATGCTATACCAACGCTATACCCAGAGCTGCATGTTGAATACGAAAGAAATAGTCCATCTAGGTGGATCAGTGGTTCAGCTGCTGACCTGAAGGTCTCGGGATTCATCCCGGCCATGGTGGCCACATTTCGACGGAGGCGAAAAGGCTGAGGCCCATGTACTGGGCTATATCAGTTCACGCTGAAGAACACCAGATGGCCAAAACTTCTTGAGCCCTCCATTACGACGTCTCTCATATTCATATCGTGGTTTTGTAAAGTAACTCCCCCCCTTTATATTATTTATACGAGAGAAAGACTTGGTAGGGACAAACGGTGCCGTTGACCCCATACACCTACTTTCTCACTTTTGGAAGAATGAGTCAAAATGCCGTGTTCTTATCCCAAAAATAAGTAAAATTACAGCCCATGCGTTAGATCAGAGACGCATGAATTCTCTGACAAGAAGGCCGTAGTGTGAAATTGTGACGTGCACTGTTAGCGATGGTATCGAAGGAGCCGTTCGTCGATGTAGTCCAAGTACAATGAAGGAAGTGAGCAATGTCATCATGGAGAGTGTCTTAGAAACGAACGGCCTGTTCAATGGTTGCATGCCAGGAGTTTAGCTATGGAATGTCGCTCAATACAACGTACTATCTACGCAAAATCTCTTAGGCATACAGGTCATGCCAATGCGAGAGCAGTATCGTTCTTACCATGAAAATATAATACACTAGGCTTAGAGCGTTCGTATTGTTTAACTTTCGCAGCCATGTGTCTATTAGTGAACTGTTAAATAGCGCGAACTTGGGGACGAGAGACAAGAGAATGCGACATCCACAAGTGCTAGTTAGGCAAAAAAGTGCGATACACACAAGTGATAGTTAGCAATAGTTAGCGATAGTAAAAGTAACTATCCCTAACAAGCAATTTGCGCTAAGTCTCTTAGTGCCCCTCCTTCAATATCTATACACTTTATACCAGGACAAATGAAAGAAGTGTTACATTACGTCACAGTGGACCACCTTCGCATGTTCAATTGCCGTGCCCACTCCACGTTCTGTCTGACTGTTTTCTTTCGTCTGATTTTTCAGAGGGCCACCTCCAGCGGGATTCAAAGATCCGTACGTATCCATGCAGCGACTGTTGTTTCGTCTAGCTTATTGTAATGGTACACAATCATGTGTGAACAAATTTTATGCTCCAATTGAGCTGATCCCTGCCAAGTGTGCATCTAGTGACTGTGCTTTTTAAGTGAGGTGGCGCAATTACGCATCTACCGGCACCATGGTAAATTAAATTCTCTGTCAACACTGCTACGCCGTCTCTTCTCTCACGTAACAATATTGTGCATTTACTAATGTAAACTAGTCAGTTTATATGCAACTCCTTATGCACATTTACAAACGAAAAAAATAAAAATTCGCATTTCAGGTGGTCTGAGAGACCAGCCTAAATATAATTGTGATCTGGAGAACAATATCTGACGAAAATACATTTAACATGACAATTCCTTGTGATTAGAGAGAATTAAATGTATACTTCACTTCATACCACTCCCGCAACAAATGGCTGGGGATTCATCGAAGACGTGAGGCTTTTTAGAGCTCTTATTATTGTGAACATCCTTGCAAAAGATGGTGGTCACACAAGATCGCTTATCTCTGTACATAACATGGTATTTTCTGTCCCTCATTTTTTTGAGAATTCACTGTAATTGTCATTTTATGAAAAACTGTTCGCTGAGTCCAAGTAGTAACTCTCAGAATATGAGTCACTTATTGTGCAGACACATAAGGTTAAAGCCACGCCCAGTTTTTTATATTTTTCGACTTGTGAAGCTGTGTCAAAACTTGTTATAGTCCTGATTATCGTTACCTTATCGTGTCCCATTGTATAATTGCAGTTTGTTTTTGGCAAACTTTCATTAAAATTATACGAGGGACTATTGGTCAGCTGCCAACTCGTAATAAGTTCACGTGCTACGTGACGCCAAACAGCTCAAAAAAGTGTGCTACACTCGCCGCCATGGCTACTGGTGGCTCTGACTGACACTCCCACGTTTATTTCACATATAAACCCAATAAAGTGGCTGGGGGGTTCTTTTTTCGCATATAGTGGTGTACAAGATGTTGGCTCATTTCATCTCCGTCAAATAGTCTTGTTACAGGCTGCAGACAAACCAATGACCCCCGAAATCCGTTTCGTGGCGTGGGTTTGGCACCACACACCCGTAATGCTTGCAAGTTTTGCCTACACGCTTCGTGCACACTGGCTGCCCTGCCAGCGCTTGATGAAATTAGTGAATACTTAGTCGCGAATTATTTCTAAACCTTGCGTTATGTATGTAGCCCTTTGGTCCACAATGCGCACTCGTCCCGGCCATTAATATGCAATAATACTACGCTACATAGAAAAAAAAAATACTTCCCTTTTTTTGGAAGAAAAGTGTTGCATGGAAACTCTACGGATGTTATGAATTCACCTTCTTAAATAAGCACGTTATGCATGTCAGCTGCATCTGAAAGTTTACATGTTATTTTGTACCAATTGCAAGTTTTGTATTGTGTTTCCTTTACGCAATATGAGTGCCCTTCCTGAAAGGAACCTTGTGGTGTGATGCGAAAAAAGATTGAAGATAGAAAATCACTGCATGAGCGGTATTTTTTGGTAATGTGTGGGAACCACCACTTTCTTCTTTTCTTTTACAGAAAAGCAAGAACTGAAGTGGCCCCAACAGTTGGACACGTGTAAGCAATACTACAGATGATCTTGACCGAAGAGCTGTTTTATGTGCAGAAAATTTGTTTCTCGCTCTCTCAAATGTTTCTAGCCTTCGAATGGTCTGTTGTCAATTCAAATCATGATTTTGCGTCAGTGACAGGTGCCTAATGTTCTTGCTTATTCTAACATTTTTGGGCTGTATACAAATAGTACCTTTGCTCACTTTGCGAGACACTACCGTGACAGAATGAAAATTAAAAAGAATGCTCAGCATAATATGCTTTACCCGGGGCGCGGCTACTAAAGTAAGCTTGAATGTCTTTAGGTAACCGGAAAATTTTGAGGGAACGACATTGTTCTGGCAGCGCGCCTGGTGAAAGAAAAAAAGCTGAAATTACATACCAGCATATATTCCGCAACCGACTCACTCACAAGTGTTCGCAAGAAAAGCGTTCTGCAGTTTTAAGTCGGAAGCAGTGCTTATTCATCAAGACAGTTATTCAGTATGCGCCACGTGAGCATGTAGTGTTGGTGGTGAGGTATTCAACGCACATATAATGAAGCATTGTAACTGTTCAGAAGCAGCCATTCAGAGTCCTTTCTGCAGTTGTTAGCTTTTCATAGAATACATATGCAGGGAGATCAATACAAGCGTATTTACCGTGAACAAAAGTTTGTTTATTACCGTGTAATTCAGGTTCCGATTTGTTCAGCCTGTCGTGTAGCTGGTAATGGTTGCAAACGTCAGGAAACTTGCAATAAAGGGGAGTCGGGAATACTATCGGGAATAAACGTAGTTGCCTATTATGTAAGAATGCATGGGTAGCTGAATAAAACAGTTTATTCTAGAAAAGATGCGGTGCCTAAACGCAACATTTCTGGCTCTCCCAGAGCTTATTTAGGGGCAAAGCTCCTTAAACCGCAGGTCATGCGTCCGCGATGTATGAAGTAGTAGTCGTAGTAGTAGGTAGCCACCTTGTGCATGGCCGGAATAGAGGAGCGGCACATGCGCACTCATTTGAAGTGAGGAGAAAACCCGCGCACGTCAATCATAAATACAAAAGATAGTTGTTTCTGATAAAATAACCTACAGAGACGAGTACTGGTGATTTTTTATCTCCAATGAAATTGCCTTGAATTTGATGCTTACTAAACAAAACTAGTATCAGAAGGACGCACTTTCAGAACTATCCGACGAGAGAGGGTTGCTACGGTTAACTCACTGGGCTTAACCTCTTTGGTTTTAGCAAGGTTTAGCGAGTGTTGGGTCGCAGTTCCATGAACTAGAGGCGGTGAAAGTTTGGAACTAGACACGAAGCGCAAGCCGTAAGAAAGTGTGCGCATGCCACTTTTCTAGTCCGGCCGTGCCACCTCTCGTTTAGTCCTTAGAATGTCTGCTTGATGGCGGTATTTCTATATGATGAATATATGATGAAAAGAGGCGAGATAGCAGTACTTGGAGTGTTCACTAGATAGACGGACGGATGGACAGACGCACAAACGGAGAGACAGAGATATGCACCGACAGACGGACGCAAAGATGGAGGCATGGACGGACGCACAGGCACGGACGGATGCACGGACAGATGTACACATGTTCGTCCGCACGGATGGACGGTTGGAGCGCACAGATAGACGAACGAATGCACGAACGGACGGAAGCGTGGACGTACTGACGGATGCTTCACCCCACTCATCATAATGCACTCCGTGGATATGCTGTGATTTTTTCTGTCTCAGAAAAGGGCTTTCGAAGACAGGTTTGCCAACGTTCGATGGTACTTAATTTTCGCATTGTATATTGGAGGACGAAAACTTCAACTCCGAGATATATATAGCTATACTCCTCTGATGACGGTAGTCATAGTAAGTTCCAGCGGCTAGGGAAGTGCTCTCTGATTTTTGTAACGTCTTGACGCAGTGAAGGCCACTCCCAGCCGGACAGCTTTCTGAACACGTGCGTGACTATCGTGGCCGTCCTGATTGTCATCACGCTCATCGTCATGGTCATCATTCTACTCAAGTGCTTCTCCGGCCGAGAGGGTGAGTGAACGCTAAGGCCCACTCAAAGTCTCGCGAGTGGAATCCTTCATCATCATTATTTACTTGTATTTTTATTCGGCGTGGCCAATGACGTGATGCGCAGCGTTTGAAGATCTACATTGTTCGCGCCCTGTCGTTACAATGCAATTCTGGCATTATGAGTTCGCCATCGAACTGGCGATTAGGAGCGCTGCAACAAAGTTGTGCCGCTGGTTGAAGGTTTTGTCAGGCGCCTATCACAACAATCATAACGAAGACACTCAGGCAGAAATTAACGGGGCATGTCTTTATTCAATAAAATTATCTCTGAATCTTCCTTGTTGGGATTCTTCAAATCAGCGTATAATGAAAAGTCTGGCATGAACCATCGCTTTATTGAATTGCTTGGTGCACACTTGAATTGGTTAGTATAGTGCAATGAACGGGACGAAGAACAGAACGGGTCTTGCAGGCCATTTCCTGATGCTGTTACTCGATTTTTAGATTAAGTGGTGATATATATCTGTACGCTCCGAATACGTCAGTGATATTCCACAAGAGAAATATTCGGGAAAGAAGCCATGCTTCCTTGCCGTGTGAACTACGAAGATGTGCGACTGTATGTTATCAACTTGCCTACCGCTGAGCTGACCATGCCACTCTAGTGATAATCAGCAGTTCTACGTACCGATACCACGACACCAATATCCATGAATTGGGAAAGCATTCATTAATACTCATATTATAGCGTATTGGAGCATCGTTTAACCATACAAACATGTGTGTTAGAATGAGAAGCATCATTCATCGAGAAAGTCCCGTACATCAAATATTTGTTTACAGCTTTGCGTAAACTGAAAGCCACTATTTAGGCCTTTCAGAGCATGTGTCCATACTTGACTTGCTCATATTGAAAGACTGCGTCTTACTCCGGCAAATATATACATATTGAATAAAGGAGAGATAAAAATCACAGCCACACTGGCTGTCTGGCAGTTAGTAGGAAAAAAATTATATCAATGGGATTGAGAAAACGTTCAAAGAGCTTGCTTACGTACAAAGGACACGAGAAAATGAAGAATATTAAATTGTCTAGCCTAATTTCCTTGACATTATGCCATAGTTTTAATGCCTTTTGAAAAGCCCGTATAACAAGCCACAGGGAGCACAGGGAGCACATTCATGGAATTGGCATCGTGATCAGTCCGATTGGTGTGGATGGTGAAAAGCTACAGCTTACTTACAGTTGAAAGCACCGCAGACATATCCCAAGTAGCCATGTTTATTCACCTTATCAACCACAACGATGTGTGTGATAGTAGGATACCAACTTGCCCACCGCTGAGCTAAACTTTGTCGTCTTTTCCATGTTGTTGCCTCGACGGACTCACCTAGGCTGGCCCATATTAATTCGCGTATCCCAAACGGGGAACGCGTCGGCGAAATTCATGAAAGCGACGATACCCTGCCATATGCGAAATGCCCAATAGTCTTAAAAACTTAAAAACTTAAAAAGGGCAATATCGACGACGACAGGAAGAAACACAAAAAAATCGGTGAGGGTGCTGAAACAGTCACTACTCCTCAGTGCGCAGCCCAACAGAAGTGTCACTAATACAATCACCTTCTTTCTTTTTAATTTTTAATGTGATAAGCCTCCATTAGTTCGTTCGTCACAGAATTTGTACTCCTGCCAAGAATTTGAATGGGACACAAAACCATTTGACATGCACAGATCTTGCAATGCATAGGCAGATGAAACGTCAAATTATTTTTAACAAACCGCTGTCCCATATTTTGTGTTTCTGTCATCGTCGATTTTGCCTTTCCTAGTTTTAAAATTATGAACCAACTAGAACAGCAATGCATACTATTGTAGCTTAATACATTTTATAGGTTGTGGGTTGAGATGCTGCTGCATTACTCACGTCAATTTATTTTGGTTTGTTTCAGCATTACAACGCTACACCTGATTATAAAAAATAATGCACTGTCTGCTCTAATGGGCCTCATTGTCAGTTGGTTTAGTCTGGTTATGAGTGGCAAGGAAACCAAGCCATCGAAATAATTCCCTTGATTTTGTTGCTTGACTTTTAGGAATCCGCAAATAAAGTAATTTTTTTTCTCAGCGGAAACCCAAACGACACATTTATGCGTGCACAAAATGTGGGATAGTTGAGAAGCTAAAATTAATGCGTACTGTTTTTTTCTTCCATACTGCAGACTGTCCACGCACAGAAGGCCCCTACAACCCGTACAGCAACGTGTCCCTGAGCTGCGAGTCCGAGGACTGCCGAGATTACGGTGAGATGGAGGAACTTCCTGTGCTGTACGCCTCGTTCCGGCGGCAAGGCGATTCGCTAACGCTGGCTGCCGTGCAGTGCTCTGTGCATCCCATAAAACTGTAAATGGTTACGAACTACTCGCACGACTTTGATTGATACGTCCTCCGTGTTTTTGGGCAATCGCGGTTGTACTGTGGTTACGCTGCTCGCGATTTGACCCGAAAGACATGGGTTTATATTTCGACCGTGGCGGTCTCATTTCGATGGAGGTGAAAAGATAAAGGCCTGCGTACTCACACTCAGGTATACCTTAATGAAGTATTAGCTGCTCGGAATTTATGGTGTCCTCAATTACGGTGTGCCTGAACATATCGGAATTTCGGTGCTTAAAGCCTCATATGTTGTACCACTTCGTCGCTATTTTTTTTGCCTCGTGTCCCTTCTCTTACTATTGACACAACGAAAAAAATCGTTTGAATCGTTCTTGCCGGTACGGCAGCGTGAGTGAAACGAATGTGCACATCCACTACGGTATGTGCTTCGTGTTCTTTTTTTTTGTATAGAATATTGCCTAAGCGCTGCACATCGCCTTCAGTGCGGCTCCGTGTTTACCCACGGACAAGAACTGAAGCGCACAAATACGCGAAATTACGGCCAGTCATAACATTTCAGTTTTCAAACTAAGTCAAACAGAAAAGCTTCGTCTTCGAACAGGACATAGGTTGCTGTGTTCGTAATTTCTTTAATATTTCCGATACACTTTCTTTCCTTCACGACGCGTACAAGAGCAGGCAGCTGGTTTTTTTTTTCGTGTTTACACAAATGTTTTTGCATGCACATCCAATAGCTCATGATTGTGATGAACATAGATGTTCAGCCTCGTGGGTGTGCTATATTAAACATTTATAGAGTGGCACCACGCATGCGGGTATAAATGGTAGATAAGCGAGCGCTAACATGAAAAAAAAAGTAAGAAATGAAGAGCTCAGTAACATATGATCGTGAACTAAATGAATAAAGCTACCCGAGAAACAGAGCACATTAAACAGCAACTATTCTTTCAAATAGAGCAATACTCTTCCGTATATAAACCCACGCCTGGTTCCACGAGCCTGACGTTCAAGCTGACCAAATGTTAACGCTTTCGGTGAAGCTTCAGTGAACAAATAGTGCAACGTGTTTACTAAAGTCCCCTTGCCCTTTCGATTGAGTGATTGATTGATTAATTGATTGATTATTGTATATGTGGATTTAACGTCCCAAACCCACCATATGATTATGAGACACCGTAGTGGAGGGCTCCAAAAATTTTGACCACCCGGGGTTCTTTAACGTGCACCAAAATCGTCTTGCCCTTTTCATCGGCAAGCGAAACTGAGCTATCGCTGGGCTAACTCGGTATCACCACGTTAAAACGTGGCAATTTCGTCACACGTGCTCTACCTTTTTTTTTCTACTAAACCACGTCTCGCAATTAGAGCTGCATCCCTCTTGCGACTCAACGCGACCCCTACGCAGGTTCAATGATGCGCGCGAGCCTGATCTCGTTCATGGAGCCGTGCGAGGACTTCTACGAGTTCATCTGCGGAGGCTGGATGAAGGCGGCTCGCATACCGCACGAGGAAGTGGTCTACAGCACCATGTCGGACGTGCACCGGCGCGTAGAGAACGACATCAGTGGTAAGCAGCCCGGGTCCTTGACACACTGTGCACTTTACCGCCTGCCCTTGATGTTCCATACTGTATGCCCAAAAGCAAAGTTACTTGGACGACATGTGAGAACTAACAGACAATAATGTTAGGGAATGTATAAAGGACTGGATTTAAAGTAATTGTAATGTAAATGTGAAGAAAGAAAAGTGGTCGAAAAACATAGCGTGCCACGGGCAGTATTTTGCCGGTGGCAAGTTATGTTTTCCACCACTTTTCTTCCTTCACATTTACATTACAATTACTTCTACTCACATCCCCTGTACATTCCCCGGCAGCATTGTATGTTAAATATCATTATTATTGTGTGTAAGAAACAAAAGAAGCCCTTAAATTGACATTTATTCATATGATAAGACTATATTCTGACGACACTGAAAGTAGGAACATGGGAGCATCCGCCTCCCCCTGGAAGTGAACAACACTCTTCCCTCCCCTTTAACTCTCTCGGACACTCACACTCACCGCCCGGTCATCGAGCCATCCGGGTGGCGGGAGCTGTGGACAGTGGGTGCTTCAGGGTTCTCCGACGGCTGGCTATATAATACGAAGACTGTTGCACATTACTCCTCTTCCCTTCTTTTTCTTCTTCTTCTCGATCCTCATGAAATGTTAATCAACCTCAGTCTGTACGGCAAAGGTAGATCTCATCACTACAAAGGATCGGTCTGGTGACGAGGACCAGCTACCAGTCGAGACCAACTGGATCCAGTCCCAACAAACTGGAGGCAGCGGTGGGATCCTCCTAACCCTCAAACCCCAAAACCGCGAATTGAAGAGACACCATTTGATTCCAGAAGCTAATTTGTGAGAAGAATGTAGACCTTTACCCACACCTTTTGCTGGGCTACGCATACACAAACCATGCAGAAGCTTTCCTGGCTTACTGATTCGGGCACAAGCGCGCGGCGGCGGAGGAACGAAGGGTCAGTGCAGTGAAGCCTCAGTTATTGCAGTCTGTCGGTCAAGCAATAGCGTAGTTCGCTGGACAAAAAAAAAAAAAAAAAACGTGTTTTCTGATGCAGTGCAATTAGTCGGACTGTTGAAAAGTATCAATAAATGATGCCGTGGGAGCAGTGACAAGTTTTTAAGAGAGCCGTAAAGAGACACGTGATCACCTCTTACTGCGAAGAAGAACAAACGATGAGCGCTGCTGTGTAGGTGGAGTGAATCGTCAAGCCAGTGACTATGTAAGAAGTCTTGTACAGACCAGCGTAACAAGAGTGAGGAGGAGCTTGCGGTGACCATTCGATATGTTTTGATTTCAAAGGCACTGTCTAAATCACTGTGCAATGCTGTTTCTGTAATAATACAGAACGTTCGAGCAAAGTGCCCTTGTATGGTGGTTGAATCGAACCAGCACATGCTCCGGCTACGATTTCTTCCGTTGCTTACTAGTGTCCACATGATCAAGTGCATCCAACACGCACCAATATTGCACGCACAAAAGCTTGACAACAGGAAGCGACGCATTAACTCTCACAAGGCAGAAGCGGCTCGTCTGTTCCAACACACGGCGGCATTCCAGTGCTTCCGTCGCTCTTTCTGATAAGGCCTTGCGGTAATTGAGTAAAACGGTTTTGCAGGCCAGTTTTTGTAGGCGTTGAGCACCCTACACCATAGCAGTTATTAGACATTCCTTTAGCCACCACACATACGAGGAGCGTTGCTATTTTCTAAACAGAAACGCGAGATACGCGGTACCACACGTACAACGAGGTAAATAACCACGGTGGTCGTCTGCTCGTTTTCTCGAGAGTGATGAGCGAGTTCGGCAACTATGGCGCTGCCGTCAGCGCGTAATAGACGAATAACTGGAGATCCGCGTAAACACTCATTCGATAGGCGTGTGTCCAAACTGTAACACATTGTTTACACTGTTTACTTTTTCTGCTTCCCAAGCGTCTGCCCGAAGACAGCAAGCGGACAAAGGGGTTCACATAGGCGCGAGTGGGCTCGAACGGGTTAATGGGTTGTGGAAGCCGTCGCATTCCATACTAAAGTACTATTTTCCAAGATCTCAATGTATACATGACCTTGGGCTATCTCACCTCGGTGGACGGTGTTTGGCAAATCTAGAAAGCATGTGGTCGTAGGCTCGTTAGTCACTCGGATGTCTTCTTTGATGAACGGGCAATGCTTTCGCTGATGCATGATGCATATGAGTGAGTAGTTTTTCTCTATAAAACAGGCGTTTGATAGTTCGTGATTTATAATTGACATATTTGCACAGCACAAGACAACGAGTAGTTATGGCGTAACTGCGGATGGAAGAGACACGGACACAAAAGAGCACTGCTGCTTCTGTTGTGTTGATTCACGAGCCGGACGCTGAATTTCTCGGCGAGCGTTGCTGTGCTTTTAGAATATAGGTTCTTTCGTAGCTGTTCTTGGTGAGTTCCTTGAACAGCGTTTGCTTTTCATTTGTTTAAATGCGCAAGCCGCTACTTTTGCTTGTGCCTTTGTACTGTAGCGTTATTGGCCGACAGTACGAGTCTAGGGGGGGGGGGGGGTTCCCTGGCCTTTGTCTACTTGCCTACTTTATAGATTGCATGTGTGTTATCCAAAAACATGCATTTGCCAATGCCTTGTCAGCGTTGCTAATATGACCAGCGTCGAAAGTGACTGCAACTACACTTTTGAGAATGGTTGTATCACACGAGCCTTATGAAATTACGACCCTCAATTGCTGTAATGGAAATCCTCCATGATGAGTGAATTTTTAGTTCGCAATCTACTCTCAGCACAAATACACAAGAAAGTCCATGTAGAGTAGCTGATACCTATAAGGTAAAAATGCGTTGGGATCAATTTTATTTTAACGATTGCAGTCTTAGCCATGATCGTGAAATATTTTTTACATAAGGACAAAGAGATTGAAATCTGGTCTACGGGATGTGTACTTTCATTGAGAGACCCTTTGTGGTCAAGCCGCTCGACCCATCTGCCAGTTACAAAGAGGTCGTGAGGCTGTAGCCTACTGTGACCCTAAGGGAATATGAATTGTTGAGATCGTGTTAGGGAACAATGCTAAAAAAAAAAACAATTTGGTAGGTTGGAGCGAAGTGGGTCACCAGGTATATGGCTGTTTTTTACGGCCTATTATTAGTAATACTATGAGTGGTTTTAGGCCGTAAAACCACCATATGTTTATGAGAGACGCCGTAGGGAGAGAGCTTGGGAAATTTGGACCATATGGCGTTGTTTACTGTGCACTGACATCGCACACTACACGGGCCTCTACCATTTTACTTCCAACAAAAGGAGACCACCGCAGCCAGGATCAAACCCATGAGCTTCGGGTCAGCAGCCGAGCACCCTTTAGCCACTGATCCACCTAGGGGGACTTTTTTAACGGCATATTAGCAAAAATCGTTTTACGCATAGCAAGTACGACATCCATGAGCCACCTGGTAGCACTTCTTCGCAACAGCAACTCCCCTGAAGCCTATTCATTCCAATCACTCAAAACCTCGCCGGGTTTTATGAGACGTGGACCATTGATTGATTGATTGATTGATTGATTTGTGGGGTTTAACGTCCCAAAACCACCATATGATTATGAGAGACGCCGTAGTGGAGGGCTCCGGAAATTTAGACCACCTGGGGTTCTTTAACGGGCGCCCAAATCTGAGTACACGGTCCTACAACATTTCCGCCTCCATCGGAAATGCAGCCGCTGCAAGCCGGGAATCGAACCCGCGACCTGCGGGTCCGCAGCCGAGTACCTTAGCCACTAGACCACCGTGGCGGGGCACGTGAACCGTAATATTTGTCTCATTGTTCCACCAATACGGACACAAAGACGTATTCAGCAGATGCAAGACGAATTCTTTTGATAGAACTTCATGGAACTTGTTTCGAGAACGTCAGCGAAAGCGGGTGTATACGGAGACCGGAAACAATAAGGCTTAATTATCCCTTGAGATGAATTACATTGGCATTGCCCGCTGTAGTGTGCTTCTGCGCGTGTGCAGTAGTAGGCTAATTTCGACGCATGAAATAGGAGTCACTTTAGTCAAAGCATTGCTAGTTGAAAATGAGATCCATAACGAAGAAAAACGGGACGCTCTCCGCTGATACGCTTTTCCGTCAGCCCAACTGCGCAACAAATCATTGTTGTCATTTATAACTGTAGCTTTCACATTTTATTGTCAAAATCACGCGCTAATTAGTAGCATTTCGAACCTTTGGCTTACGTGCCCACAAACCGAGTATTGCACGTGATACGCAGACATTCTGAACAACACCGTGATATCGTATCGGGACCAGACAGCAACCCAGAAGGCGTCAGCTCTCTACCAGGGCTGCATCAACATTGGTGAGTTGCTGGTCATCACTGCATTTGAGTTCCTAAGCGCACGACGTCCTCGTCATATTTTAGTAGTGTTGTTGTATAGGGCTTCTGCACTTGTTTGCGTCCTTGTTTTTTTTTTTTGCCCCTGTCCGACTATTTGCACCAATTATACATTGTTCACGTCATATAATTGAGATACACAGTTACAGTTTCTCATTTTTTTTTTACAAATTCACTCATTGCGCTTTAGCAATAATGTTTGAATTCCTAATAGCGAACAGATAAACAAAAGCCCGAAACATAGGCTTAGCCTCGGCCACGGATAGCCTCAGCGTAATCAACGTACGAAAGGGTGGCCCATGAAATTATTTAGCATAAAGGGCTAAGATAGATACCAAAATGATATCTCTGCACCATAGTCGTCATCCCTATTTAGGACTTTTTTCCATACGCGCTTCTATAGAATCAGCTCAGGGATGTCAATATGTTTGAGCATACGACGTCATTTCAGACCTGCGCAACAGCAAGGGGGTCAAGCCTTGGAAGACCTGCTCCGCTATTTCGATCTTGGCCACTGGCCGACCCTTAACCGGACGGCGGTGTTCCGAACCTTCTTCATACTGGGAAACGTGATCCGAGAGCTTGGTCTGGACGCCATCATGACAGTTCGCGTCGGGATCGACTACCACAACAGCGACAGATACCTGGTCTACGTGAGCACATGCTTGTCTAGCTGTCTAGACATACATTTTTACATACATTGTGTAAATTTGATCATTGTGCGTGATGAGAGGCAGGGGGGTGTGTGTGAAGGGGTTAATTGGTTAAAAGGAAAAAGCGTAGAAGTCCCTGTTTCACAATGACCAGATTGTAAAAGTTGCCGAAGACAATCCTGCAAGTAAGGATAATGTCCGAAACCCTTACACAAAGGCAACTTGGAACATACTCGAAAGTTCACCGCGTAGCTCACGTTCACATACCTTGTGCGCTATACTGGTGGAGAATGTGCGCGTCTTTTCACACGTTTAATGTGAATGTTGCAGTGTCTGTTACTAAGGTATCTAACAATAAACTATGGAGCCTAGTGTAAAGATCTTGTGAAGCCGTTTCGAAACTATCAAGATGCGTGTACGACGCCTAAGTGATCATTTACAATCACTTGGAGCTTTTAATTGCAATTTACAGACCATTCGTCTCGTGCACTTTTGTTCATCGCATTGCACACTGTGCGCGCAGATCGGGCAGCCGTCTTTCGGCGTAGAGCCAATGGTGTTGCGGGGCCGTTTCCGGTCGCCCTTCTTCCGCATCTTGCACCGGTACAAGATCTACATCTACCGCTGTGCACTACTCATGGGCGCCACCGTCGCGGCAGCCGACGTCGTCAACGAGATCGTCGCCTTTGAGGCAAAGCTGGCAGCCGTGAGTTTCCCGTCAATGAATATCTTTTCTTTTGTGAATGTGTTTTTACGCGCTGCCTGTGTGGTGTGGCGGGACATTCGAGAAGGGGACAAGGAATGTAGCAGGCAATAAAAGTGCTCGGGAGCTGCACCACTGTCAACAATATTTAAGAACATTCGACAGATGCCACGTAGATGCCACGTACTATGGGAATCAACAATATGCGAGGCACGCGGAATAAAGGCCACTGAGTTGTAATTATTTTATGGAAATAACTGTTACAGAATCTTGCTAAATCTTTCTACAAGTGTTGTACACACACATAGCTTGAACAGTCGCATGTATTGTATAGCGTGTTGCTTACTAGCGTAACGATGTCAACACCACCAACAACATTTGTATTACCAATAGCAGAAGCGGCAAACTGATATGTACTGCACTTGTACCTGCTAGAACGGTAGGCCTGGCTAGTTCTACGTAGGTCGAATTCAGTGGCTCGCACTTAGGTATACAATTGACGTCAACCCATCGTATCGCCTGTATCATAGTAGTACATATTGTCACGGTTCAACGTAAGCAGTGCACCGAGACGTTGAGTCCGAGAACCGACTGCGTGTGTTTTTACGCAGGAGCCAAGAGCAGGCGAGCAAAACAAAAGCACGTCGTCTTCTTCAGTCCCCCTTTTCACGAGGCTGTTGACGTGCATATCGTCTTCGTTCTTTGTTTCGGGCGCGGCATTTGCCTCCCCTTAAAAGAGCATAGCCCCGATGCTATAGCTGAGACAGTAATTCGCGCATGAAGTCACTTTGTGGAAGCGACGGTGCCTCGCAGAGTCCCTCGCTGACGTATGGCTTATGCGCACTACGTGCACAAGCTCAGGTCGGTGCTGGCGACACCTCGAACAGTTTGGGCTGTCCGGGACGACTTCATAGGTAACGTCACTTATTCGTCACAGCACTCGATAAGGTCCGAAGTACCTTCTGAGCAACTTTTCGGATAGTCCCCGTCTTCGTACAGGCGTCCACACCCATACCCTATCCCCGGTTTTGTACGTTACAGGTGTATGACGTTGGTTATAGCGGCCTGCGTCGTACTCTTGCTGTTGGTATATTCGCAGACGTGCGAGCTGCCTGGCTTCCTTTACGCGTTGAGTAAACGCGCCAGCACTCGTTTCGTTGTCATCGCATTCGTGTGGCAACATCGCGTCTAACATCGTTCTTACTTCTCGTCCGTGAACAAGGCGGAATGGGGTCATCCGTGTGGTTTCTTGTTTCGCAGTATTGTATGCGAACGTTATGTAAGGAAGAATCTCGTCCCAGTTTTTGTGTTCGATGTCCACATATATTGAAAGCATGTCTTCCAGAGTTTTGTTAAGTCGCTCGGTCAACCCGTCGGTTTGTGGATGGTAAGCTGTCGACTTGCGATGAATAGTATCGCTGAGCACCAACACATGATCTGAAAGCGCGGCCGTGAATGCGGTTCCGCGATCTGTTATAACGATCGATGGCGCACCGTGTCTCAGCACAATCTTCTCTATGAAGAACCGGGCTACCTCTCTGCTGTGCCTCTCTGGATGGCTTTTGTCTTGGCGTAGCGAGTAAGGTAGTCGGTCACCACTATAACCCAGTGGTTCCAACACTAGAGGTGGGAAGTGGCCCCAAAAGGTCCATTACGATCTGGTCAAATGGCGTTGTCGGGATCTGGACAGGGTGTAGTTAACTGGCTCGTTTCGTTGGAGGTGACTTGCGCCGCTGGCAATCGAGGCAGATCCGAACATGATGCTTCACGGCAGCGTTGAGTCTAGGCCAGTAATATCTCCCTGGAACACTGCTCAGTGTGCGCGCGTAGACTAAATGTCCAGATGTTACCTCGTTGTGGCACGCTTGCAACACCTCAGAACGAAGAGTGGTAGGGACGACAAGTAGGTAGGTGGACCCGTTTGACAAGAAATTTATTTTGTAAGGAACATTGTTTCGCAGTCAGAACGACGATAGTCCTCTTGTAAAGGCTTTGGGTGCATTCTGGCTTCGTCTTTCTGAATAAGTAATCAAGCCAAGTAGCTCAGGATCGTCATGCTGGTGATCTGCGATGGTTGACGTGTCGAGGATTCCGAAAAACGCTGTCTCTTCATCAAAAGCAGCAGCCGACTCTATTGGTGATCGAGGTAGACTGTCGGCGTCCGTGCGTCGTTTTCCGGACTTATACACCATCGTTACCTCAAACTCCTGTAGTCCAATCACCCGGAAGGATCTTTCAGACTTGTTAACCAACACAACGAATGGTTTATGAAACGTTTATGAAATGTCATGTTTATGAAACGGCACTGCAACCACATTTGACGCTTCACCAACACTATGCCTGCATAAGGTATTTTGCCGGAGCAGCTTCGACACCTGGCGTGACTCTGTGGTTGAATACTTCATCGTCATGCTGAAGGCGTAGGTTTCATTTCTCCTGGAACTTTCTGATATTTATTCATTCCTTGGATTCGTGCGGTCAACGCTTCCATTGTCAGTTTTTTCTAACGCCGTCGCATTTAAGTTACCAATGTTTGTTCTGGAGAAGTGAAAATTTCACTTGCTCAATTTTCTCTGTCGGACACTATATGAATGAGAACTAACTAAATATATCGCGTTTTCTGTACTCCCAGTTCGCGGGTACTTGTAAAGTGTCAATCACCTATGGTGCATACACCCACATACCGAGGACTGTGGTACACGAGTATGTACCGAGCGTGGAAGCAGGACAATGTTCGACGACGCACGTCACAAGACTTTTATATTAATCATGTCATGATCGTCCAGCTAGGTATATTTGCCGAGTACTTGAAGCGCCACCGAAATCGACAGGATCGCACGGTGAAGGAAGAAGGGGTCGGGCGTGACATCGAGCAGCGCTTGAGCAAGGCTGGCACGAAGGGCGCAAAAAAAAATTCAGTGTTATTTTGGCTGCATCAATGAGAAGACGTGTCCGATCGCTCTATTATATGCGCTCCTCAATTGGTGCCTAAACGCCGACCCTCCCGTAGAATTTTTGGTGTATATACCCTTAGTGAAGGAGGTGATCATGAGAGCGCCTAGACTTAGGTGGCTAGAAGATAGAAATGCTCGAAGTGCATGCAGTCTACCAAGGAATACTTAGAATTTGAAAGAATGTGTCAAAATACGTGGTGTACTGTCTCGCCCTTATCAGGCTTTCTATCGCGTTTTAGCAATTTTTCTCAAAATGTCACTCACAACGAAGTCTCTCTTGCTATGAAGTGCATCTGGGAACGTAACTCTGGTGGGCAAAAAGGGTCGGGCAACAAGTAAGATTTCGGTCCATGTCGAGTGTAATACGTGGAAATTTCAAAGTCATTATTCATAGGGACTCCATATATTTTACAAAATACTCTCGGCTAAATATGCTACTGCGTTGATAGCATGCAACTAAGAACTTAACCAACGAACAGAAGTGTTCAGGTGGCTGCGCATGTCACCAATACATTGCCAGCCCTAGGCACGCAGACATTCACGAGCATAGCAAGTACTCTCGAAATTATACCCGTTATCCCTCTAACGGCGCATGTACACTACATTTTTAACAAACCAATGTGAGCCGAGCTTTTTCGCGTGTGACCAAGCTTAAAAACACCACTGCAGATACTTTCGGTTCGCTCTAAATCATGCTGTATTTTATGTTACAAAGAAACGTGGGCAACAGTAACCAGTGCTTAGGATATCTTTATGGGCATCACAACTATGTAGGCTCTCGTTGAGAACTTCAAAGGCTGCAACCCTGTGAATGGTACTTTATTAGATGGACCGGTAGACAAATCCACAATCACTGATCATTTTGTATCTATAGGTGGACAGGCAGAGAAACTTACAAACATTGATCATTTTGTCATGGTGTCACAAAAACTGCCAGTTTATGACACCTTATAGAAGATGTGTGGCATTGTCTCATAGCAATTCGATACATTGATGTCTAGTTGATAACGCCATAGATTAACTACTGCTGAATCGAGAACTGATTGTTCCTACAGATTATGGAGCCGCCGGAGACTATCCACAACCCGAAGCGAGTCTACAACCTCATGAGCCTGCGCACGCTCGAAGGAGCCATACCAGAGGTGAGATGCGATTTTTAAAATTTGAATTCTTTTCTAACGTGAGGTTGACCTCGAGTCCACCACAAGGGAGCGGCTCTGGTGCTCAAGTTGTGGAATCTATCCCGGTTGTGTCAGCTGCATTTCGGTGGAGGCTAAATCAGTTGAGTGACATGTCCATAGAGCCAATGTGGATGAAAATGAGACGCGTTGATAGCGCCGTCTGGCTTGCGGTGGCAGTTGTACAAATAGTAAAAATTACTATTTTACTGGCAACTGAATAAGCTTTTATTATATCCTGCACTCAAATAGCTTGATTCAACAAATAACAACTAAACATTTTGTATGTTCTACAGATGCATATAAAACAAAATTAGTTTCAAAGCACCAGGGCGTTTTGATAGGGCGGCTGGCCGTTTGCATAGCAGACGACACTGTCGTCACCGTCGTCGTCTGCTTCTTCTTCATGGTTATCCCCCACTCGTTGGGGCAGTAGTAGTAGTAGTAAACAACTTTATTAAGGCAGCTGACGTTTTCCTAAGTGGCGAGGGCTGTCAGGCTACGCCTGGTCGCCACCTCGTCAGTGCTTTTGATGGCCTGGAGCTGGGTGTTTAGGCTTGTAGTCGTGAGGATTCTCTCCCAGGCCTCACTTGAAGGTGACTTTCCTAGCAGGTTTGGTGGGGGAGGGTCCTTGCTGCATCCCCAGATGATGTGGTTCAAGGTTGCGGTCTGTGTCTTGCAAAGAGTGCCCGTAGATGTAAATAAGGCTGGGTATATGTGTCTGTATATGTACGGGGACGGGAATGACTTCGTTTGAAGCCGCCGCCAAGTGATTTGTTGAGCTTTGTTTAGTTGTGGGTGTGGGGGTGGTCTAGTTTGCCTTGGTAGCTTGTAGTACTGCTTGATGTCGTGAAAGGTGATTAGTGGTGTGGTTGCTCCAGTATCCTGGTCCAAAGTCTGGCCCATTACTCGGCGTACGAGTCCCCGAGCTTGTCTGTGGGCGGCTTCATTACTCGGGTTTCCTGCGTGCGCTGGGACCCAGATGAGTTAAATTAAACGGGGATCGTCATCGTCGGTGCTGCTCGAAGCGGTGTCGTTTGCGGCGTTGCGTTCCGCTTGGGGCAGAAGACGGAGTATTCGTGCCGTGGTTGGAGAAAAAGTGCCACGGGCAAACCGCGTCATGGCAGATTTGGAGTCACTAATGATTGTTTCAAATCCGGCTATTGCGGCGAGTGCTATGGCAGCTTCTTCGGCCTCTGTTGGGTCCTGTGTGCGTATGGAGCCGACACACATTGTGGTAGGCTCTTTATCGACTGGGGTATGTTTCGATGAGACATTGATAGCATATTCCTGTTTGGGGGCTGGGTATTTTGCCGCGTCGACGTGAGCCGCCTTAGTGTTTGGGCCGTAGGTATTGTGAAGATTTCTGGCGCGGGCCGATCGTCTACCGTCATGATTGCCGGCCAACATATTCTTCAACAGCGGCTGCACAATGAAGCGCTGTCTGATAAGGGGTTGTAGCGAGACTAATAAATCTTGTCTGCTTGGTGACAAGGGAATGCCCATATGTTGGACTATCCATCTTTCAGTTTTACTACCACGCAATCGTTCAATTTGTGCAGTTTGGTGTGTTTCGATAAGTTCATCTATTGTATTGTGAATTCCATGTCGGAGGAGGTGCATGGTCGATGTGGTGCGGGAGAGGCCCAAGGCGATCTTGTGGATTGCGCGAATAAGTCTGCCAACTTTTTCTTTTTCATCCTTGAGGAGTCGTAGGTACGGTAAGGCGTAAGTGATTCTTGTGGTTCGAAGACATTTAACAGCTGGAGAAGCTCATTTTCTTTCATGCTATGTTTCCGCGCAGAGATTTTTGCTTACAGACGGGCAGTCTGAGCGACGGTTACCACAAGCCTCTCTAGTGCGACGGTATCTCTCCTGCCAGCTTGTACGTGAAGGCCGAGAACGCGCTCTCAGGATCCGGCGATCCTGAGAGTGATGGTTGGTAGTGGCGGGTGTTTACCCTTACGGCAATCAAGAGGACGAAGAAGAATGAGTTCCGATTTTTCCACTGAACACTCAAGACCCACATGCGCGCCGTATTTGGCCACTGTGTCCACGGCGCGTTGCAGTGCATCCTCGATCTGTTCGTCGGAGTCGGTAGTGGTCCATACCGTCACGTCGTCCGCGTATAGTGTGTGTCGGATGTTGTGTATGCGGTCTAGTAACTGTGGGAATTGGCTCATTCCGTTGAGAGGAAATGTGAAAGAATGGCTCCCTGTGGCATGCCTTTGTTGGATAGGGCAAGTCGCTTCGTGGCGTCGCTGTCATTCAGGGAAAGTTCAACAGTGCGGCCTTGTAAGAAGGAGCACACGTAGTTGTAAATACGTTCCCCAGAGTTCGTTGAAGCCAAGTGCTGGGCTATCGCTTGATGTGTCACGTTATCGAACGCCTTGCGTAAGTCAATGCCTAGCATTGCTCGCGTGCCCGCACGTACAGGGTCTTTCAGTAAATCGTGGTAGATTTGTACCAGGCCGTCTTGAGTAGATAAAAGTGGGCGCGGAAACCAAGCATGGTTGGAGGGAAAAGGTCTTGCTCTTTTGCAAGTGTTTCTAGCCGAGCCAGGACCACGTGCTCAAAAAGTTTGCCAAGGCATGAAGTTAACGAGATGGGGCAAAGATTTGATAAATCTGCAATCTTTCCGGGCTTTGGTATAAACACTATTTTCGCGTGCTCCCATTTTTCTGGTATACTACCGGCATGCCAGCCATTGTTGAAAAATTCAGGGAGGGCAGTTACTGATCTTGCGTCACGGTTGCGAATTGTTTTGTTGGAGACGCCGTCTGGACCTGGTGCCGATGTTGTGCGAAGCTTTAGAATGGCTGCATACACTCCGGCTTTTGTGATGGTGGCATCAAAAGTTGGGTTTGGTTCACCTTCATACGGTGGTGGTAGTGTCGCTAGTTGGTGGGCTTGGTTGATGTATTTGTCCGCCAGGTAGGTATGTAGATCTTCGTCTGATAAGGGGTGTTGGTGGACAAGTCGCTGAAGTCTGTGCCGTGCGGCTGTTTTCGAGTCGCCAGGATCCAGTAACTGGCGTAACAGGTGCCACGTCTTCTTGTAGCCTAGCTGTCCATTGAGTCTGTTGCAGAGCTGGCCCCATTGTTGGCGGGCGAGGTAGGTACCGTGTCGCTCGATTTCTTCAGAGAGAGTCTGTACGCGGTGACGCAGTTTCTTGTTGTAGCGTTGCTCCTGCCGTCTGCGCAGCAGGGCCGTTAGGGGCACGCAGAAAGCAGACGCGCGCATGCGTCCCCGTGGTCCCCGCGTATCCCCGCTGCAATTCGCCCACTCACGCGGGCAGGGAGACGCGGGCATCGTGTTTCATTTCGATTCCCCCCATCTTATTATTGCGTTTTTTCTTCACTAGGCATTGTATTCTGGAGCTGCAGTCAGATTAAAAAAAAATTGCCCGCAGCTTCCCTCGGGGGAACACTGAGGAGGATGCGGAGCATATAATTGGTTAACGGGGTGTTAAAGTGCGACTTACTTGGGTCGATGGCTAAATTGGTTAACGTGGTTGTGAAATGGGGTGTTAAATTGCGACTTACTTGGGTCGATGGCTAAATTGGTTAACGTGGTTGTAGGAGGGGGTGTTAAATGAGTGAACACGTACACACGTATGCGAAAGGGCGGCGCTGGTCGAAGGGACGTCGATCATTGTGTTTGTGGATTCGTTGGAATTCATTTCACCGCGACCTTGGACGTCGACGCGCCGTACAAACCAACCGACGACCGGCAACTGAGCGAGCGAGCGCCGACCTTGAGTATATATACAGCGCGACGGCGCATGCACTGTCAGCTGTCGAATGTTCGAGAAGCGGGAGAAGCGCAACGGCGCATGCGCGCGCGTCAGCTGCCGATGTTCTCGAAGCGTGACGGCGCATGCGCGCTACATTATACAGCTAGCGAATGTTCGTGAAGAGGAGAAGCGCACGCGGTGTGTAGAGGAGGAAGGGTGCACAGATGGTGGAGGAGTGAAGCGCGCGCGGTGTGTAGAGGAGGAAGGGATGCACAGATGGTGGAAGAAGGAGGAGGAAGCTTGCGGACGGCGCCGCACTACAAGCCTCGAGTATTAGATGCTCCGTATCTAAAAAATTGGCAGCATATCCACGGAGTGAATGATGGAGAGTGGGGCGAATCATCCGTCCGTCCATGCACGCATCTCTGTGGCCGCCAGTGCGTCTATCCGCCCGTCCGTGTGTGCGTCTGTTCGTGCGTCCGCACGTCCTTCTGTGCGTCCGTCCTTGCGTTTGTCCATGCATCCGTTCCTGCGTTCGTCCATGTGCTCATCCGTCCGTGCAGCCATCCGTGCGTCCCTCCATGCATCTGTCTGTGTGTCAGTTCGTTCGCCTATTCAACACTCCAAGTACCATCACCTCGCATCTTTTCATCATATATTTCTTATATAGAAGCACTGCCATCCTGTGGACATTCCAAGGACTGAACGAGAGGAGGCACACGCACACTTTCTTACGGCTTGCGCTTCGTGTCTACTTCCCACCTTTAACCACCTCGAATTCATGGTATATACTTGTTCACTGTATTCATGGCACTGCAGCCCAATGCTCGCTAAACCATTCTAAAACCAAGGAGGTTACGCCCCGCTAATATAACGTAGCAAACCTTTTTTGTCAGATGGTGCTCAATGTACATGCCAATGGCTGTTAACGGGGAATGAGAGACAGGAGAATTCGGCTTTTAGTTAACGCGCACGCTGCCAATTTTTTATTGTTCAACAACGCACAGAAAAAAATCTCCCTCCGGCACAACCTTGGAGGTCTAAATGTAAAACTGGTTACTCACTACGACTACTACTACTACTACGAGGGACGAGCGGGGGCTGCTTTAGGAGCTTCGCCCCTAAAAACTCCACTGCACGAAGCGGCTTCAAAGGACAATGCCTTACGGCTGCTAGACAATCTGCCTCCAATTTTAGGGGCGAAGCTCGTTAAAGCGGCACCCATTCGTCCCTCGTAGTAGTAGTAGTATTCTTAGTGTGTAACCAGTCTTACATTTTGAACTTCAAGGTGGTGCCGGTGGGAGATTACTTCTGTGCGTTGTTAAACAATTAAAATTCACAGCGTGCGCGTTAACTCAAAGCCGAATTCTCCTGTCTCTCATTCCCCCTTAGCAGCCATTGGCATGTACATTGAGCACTATCTCACAAGAAAGGGTTGCTACGTTATACTCGCTGGGCGTAACCTCTTTGGTTTAAGAAAGGTTTAGCGAGCATTGGGCCGCAGTGCCATGAATACAGTGAACTAGTATATACCCTGAACTCGAGGTGGGTAAAGGTGGGAAGCAGACACGATGCGCAAGCCGTAAGAAAGTGTCCGTGTGCCTCCTCTCATTCATGTCCTTGGAATGTCTGCTGGATCGTGGTGCTTCTATATGAGGAATATATCATGAAAAGATGTGAGATGGTGGTACTTGGAGTGTTGAATAGGTGAACGAACGGACACACAGACAGATGAATTGAAGGACGCCCGGATGTCTGCACGGACAGATGGACGCATGGACGGACGCAAGAGCGGATGCATGGACGAACGCAGGGACGGATGCACAGATGGAAGTGCGGGCGCATGAACAGACGCACGCACAGACGGGCGGATGGACGCACGGACGGTCACACAGACAGACGCATGGACGGACGGAAGCAAGAACGAATGGATGGACGGATGCTTCGCCCCACTCTCCATCCTTCATTTTGCGGATATGCTGCCATTTTTTAAAGACTATGATCTTTCTTGGGATAATTCGACGCAGCAATTTTCATTGCGGAACATTTCTTAGTCGCACCATGTCATGCGTCGCACGTCGGCGGCGATCTCCACACCCAACACTGCGCATGCTTGCGTCTCGGACCAATATTTCGCCCTCTCTCCCCACTCTCACCTCACAAGGCCAACGCAGGCAGCATCTTCCAATAAAAACCGACTACTAAAGTTGCACAACCGTTCACTGACCACCCCGTATATGTGTACGCACTTGATCGCACATCAGCGTCCCACCACTCGTTGAAGGCAACGCTTCTCATTCATTCAATAAATAAGAATACTCAAGACGAAATAAGAATTAAGCATTACTAACGCATGCCCAATTACGCAACTTTTACGCGACACGTCCACCACTCGGCGATGCATGCACTAGGGTTCTCTCCGTGAAAAAGCGGACGGCATCTTTTAGGGGCGAATCTTCTTAAAGCGGCACCCGTTCGTCCTTCGCGGTAGTCGTAGTCGTACTCATAGTGTATAACCAGTCTTACGTTTTGACCTGCAAGGTGGTGCCGGTGGGAGATTTCTCCTGTGCGTTTTTGAACAATGAAAAATTCGCAACGTGCGCGTTAACTAAAAAGTGAATTCTCCTGTCTCTCATTCCCCATTAGCAGCCATTGGCATGTACATTGAGGACTATCTGAAAAGAAAGGGTTGCTACGTCACACTCGCTGAGTGTAACCTCCTTAGTTTTAGAAAGGCTTAGCGAGCGTTGAGCCGCAGTGCCAGGAATACAATGAACTAGTATATACCATGAACTCGAGGTGGTTAAAGGTGGGAAGTAGATACGAAGCGCAAGCTGTAAGAAAGTAAAAGCCGAATTCTTCTGTCTCTCATTACCCATTAGCTGCCATTGGCATGTACACTGAGCACTATCTGACAAGAAAGCGTTGCTATGTTATACTCGCTGGGCATAACCTCCTTGGTTTTACAAAGGTTTAGCGAGCGTTGAGCCGCAGTGCCATGAATACAGTGAACTAGTATATACCATGAACTCGAGATGGTCAAAGTGGGAAGTAGACACGAAGCGCAAGCCGTAAGAAAGTGTGCGTGTGCCACCTCTCGTTTATTTTTTGGAATGTCCGCTAAATGGCGGTGCTTCTTTATCGGGAATATATGATGACAAGATGCGAGATGGTGGTACTTGGAGTGTTGAATAGGTGAACGAATGGACACACAGACAGATGAATGGACGGACGCCCGGATGTCTGCACGGACAGATGGACGCATGGACGGACGCAAGAGCGGATGCATGGACGAACGCAGGGACGGATGCACAGATGGACGTGCGGACGCATGAACAGACGCACGCACAGGCGGGCGGATGGACGCACGGACGGTCACACAGACAGACGCATGGACGGATGGAAGCAAGAACGAATGGACGGACGGATGCTTCGCCCCACTCTCCATCATTCACTCCGTGGATATGCTGCCATTTTTTGGTCTGCCTGTTATCTGTCAACAGATTCAGCAACTCGGTGAAGTTTCAGCGCTTGCTCAATGCCCAGCCATTCGATCTGGTGGCTGCGTTCATACTCGAGAAAATTGCAGATCAAAAAGCAAGTAACAGCACGACAACTTCAGGAAGAGACAAATAGACAGGAAAGAGCGCTCTCTTTTATTGAAGGTGCTACGACCGATTTTATACAGAGTACAGGAACAGTGCTCTTGTGCGACGACACATGTGTGACCATGACAAAATAATCTTAACTGACGAAAGAATACTCTCTCATGCAAAGTGAAAGTGGACGTGAACCAACTCGCCCAAATTAAGCTCTCGTTGAATATCTGAGTTGCAACATCAATACCTTATTTTTATACACTGTGTTTTTTAAAAGGAAGTGCATGGATACGTAATTCCATAGAGCGTAGTGTTTTTACGCTGCGCTGATAATGAGATGCCATAAACGAAAGAAAAAGGGGCGTTTCCCACGCTTCGCCTAGACGAAACGGTGCTGCCCCCCACCAGTACATCAGCGTTCTACGCAAGTTTTCGTTTGCCGACATCATGGCTAGATGGCGTCCATATCTCTCGCCACGCCTCCAGAAGGAAGGCTATCGTCTATTCACAATACTTGCAGCAAAGTACGCAGATACGCGGCCAATTTTTCCTTTCCTCTATGATGGCCCATAAAAACTATCGTGGCAGTGGCAGTAGCACGGCCGCTGCACTAGCCAGTAGCGGCGTTTTAGAGCGCAGCTCTTACGCGCCCGTTGTTGTAACCAGCAGAGTGAACGAAGAAGGAAGAGAGCGAACGCGAAGTCTGTGTCACCTCACTTTTTTTCTCCGTCACACGCGCTGGCCCCTCGGTCGGAACTCGAGAGCACACAGTGCTAGCCGGTGCAATGCGGTAGGTCTCACTCACTTCAGCTCTAGAGGTTTTGTTAGCGATATGTAAAGAATGTTACATTGCTACGAGTGCGGATATCCTAATTTAAACACAGTTGCGTTCGCAAAATGTGAAACTCCCATACGTTCTTTTAGATCGCAGATTTTGGGCACCTGTTTCTGCGTTAATCGGCGAGCTAGGATGAAAGAGCGCGAACGCAGAAATTAGCGGAGCGTGAAAGACGGTGACAGCGAAGAGAGCGTGATAAAGAGGACACTGCCGAGACGATATGTTCTGCAGTGCCACTGTAGTGTGCGCCGTCACCGATGAGATCATCACTGAAGTATGTGGGGAGGGTGTCCACCGATACCATATATAAGATGTAGGGGCTTTAACCATATATAGAATGAAGTGCTTCATAAATGGTGGACTGCCTGTGGTGGCTGTTGTGGAATGCACCCACGCGCTTGCCTTCAGCAGCCTCCCTGTTGGCAACGCAGTCGTGCTACGCTCCGTCTGCGGCAGCTGATATAAACTGCGCGGCACCAAATTAATTGTTCGCTGTTGTCGCGATACTCGAAGCATGCAGTTGTACTAGCTTTACGTACACACTTGTCTCTCTCAAATTGTTTGCCTCCCAAGACCCAAACAGCTGCGGTTGAAATTCGCTTTAGGCGGTATTAGAATTGTAGATGAGTTTTTTTTTCTGTCATGGATTTGAGCTTCCTGCACTGTCCCCAAAACATGTGAAACAATGCAGTGCAGATGGCCGATGTACAACAAAAAGTGTTTTGCAACGTACCAGGAAAAACAGCGTTATGCTGCTTCAGCGGAAACAACTGACGTAACTACTAGTCCTTGCGTTCGCCTTCTAATCTTCTAACTCACCAACCTAATTAGGGTATGCAATTTATATGGACGCGTGCTCTTAGGAAGAATAGTCTTGAGATAGTATCCAGAGTGCAAGTCATATTGTACATACTGTACATAAAAGCTACATGGTTTTGCAAGTCACGTGGTCATTTAACTATGCTTGTCTGCCTACCGTAGTTTAGCCATCGCATTGCAGTGAAAATGCTAAACACTTCAGTTTGCATGCCTATACTTATACCATATTATGGCACGCTGCAGATCCAGTGGACGTTCCTGCTCAACACCATTCTTCGAGACGTGGGCGTATCGATGGATCTGAGCGACCACGTCGTGGTGCTCCACCCGCTATACCTCAAGAGGCTCTCGCGACTGCTCAAAGAGGTCCCCAGGCAAGAGTTCTAGCTTTAATTATAATGGTTTTTGCACTGACCATCACGTATATTCAGACTTACTCAGTACAAGTCGACGGATGTATACCAAAAAGAGATCATTAGTATTACAGAAAATTAGAGAATATTAGGTTACAAGTGAGCTCACTTTTGTGCAAGATCAGAGAGAAAGTCTTGATTGATATGTGGGGTTTAACGTCCCAAAACCACTATATGATTATGAGAGACGCCGTAGTAGAGGGCTCCGGAAATCAGAGAGAAAGTCTACTTCATCGCAAATTTTTTTGTTTTTTTTGGGTTGTCAAGACAGCTGCCCACATTTAAAGAAGTACAAACACGGTTTTGAAATATTTTCGGGTCGTTGCTTTAATTGGAAACGTGGATGTCTGGAACCTTGAAAAAACTTGTGTAGTGCTTGGGAATGCTTTGAGTATACTTTCACTACAGCCAAATTAAAACAGCAACATCGGTTTCGTTATAGATAGGGTGGCTTGCAGTGACGTGTCAAGAGAGGTATGACGTCGAGGGGGAACTGAAACTTGCGACATACTAGCAGCAGCTTCATGTTTGCGGTCAGTCACAAGTGATTCACGTGAACAGAAATGAGTGACTTGCTGTGCAGAGACTGTGATAGGGGTTTTTTGCGATTTAGGTTGCCCACAGGATGCAAATCTCACCAACCCAGTAAACTGCGTTTTCTTTTGATGTTTTATACGTGTTGTCTGGCTCCGGCATGTGATAGTGCACCCTAAGAAAAACGACAGATGTCCCTTTTCGAGGCCTCGAAATCGTTCCAGTACGCCTTTAAGTGTCCTTTTGTTTGCATGTAGAGGAAATAAATTACATGTGGACTGGACTAGTGCACCGTCTTTCGGTATGAAACAAAAAAAAAACTAAGAGGTTACTTTGTGCATTCGTCTAGTGTGACTCGTAGGTGGAAGCAATTATCTTCTTTTAAATGCGAAGCACTTCTTAGCTAACTTCGGCGAAATTCAGCGTACCCATCCATCCATCCATCCATCCATCCATCCATCCATCCATCCATCCATCCATCCATCCATCCATCCATCCATCCATCCATCCATCCATCCGTCCGTCCATCCGTCCGTCCATCCGTCCGTCCGTCCGTCCGTCCGTCCATCCATCCATCCATCCATCCATCCATCCATCCATCCATCCATCCATCCATCCATCCATCCATCCATCCATCCATCCATCCATCCATCCATCCATCCATCCATCCATCCAGCCGCCTACGACTTTTAGCTCTCCTGGCCATTTCAATAATGGTATCGATACCAAACTTGGTTTGGCATTACATGTCTGTGTCAAGAACATATTTGACGAGTCATAACATGAAAATCACGACATGGATGTCATGAATGTCATGATTTACATTTCATGGTCCCGTAGTTCTTGCGGTGGTTCCTTTCACATAGAATGTTGCAAAACTGTATGATATGACATGATTGCATGGGGAACATAAGCGACAGATTTTAAAATGAAAATCATGACATGCGTGTTATGTAACAACATGACTGCATGCCAAAATCATGATGCGCTCACGGTTGTTTCGCTAGCGTCACATATACCAAATTCAGTATAACGGTACGTGAATGAGTGACGAAGGTAAGTGACTGGTGCAAACATGACAATCATGAGATGCGTGTCATGTAACAACATGACTACACGCCATGATAATGATGCGCTGGTGGCCGTTTAGCTAGCTTCACTTATACAAGATTTGGTATTACGGGACGTGAATGAATAGTGAAGGTATGATACTGGTGCAAACATGAGGAACATGATATGCATGCCATGTAACAACACTACTACATGCTACGCTCATGATGTACTCGCAGCCGTTTCGCTAGCTTCACATATACCAAATTCAGTATTACGTGACGCGAACGGACGACATAGGTAACTTACACATACAAACATGATAATCACGAAATGCGTGTCATGTAACAACATGACTACATGCCCCGCTCATGATACGCTCGTGGCCGTTTCGCTAGATTCACGCATGCCTAATTTGGTTACGTGACGTCAATGAATGACGAAGGTATTTGACTGGTGCAAACATGATAATCATAAGATGCGTGTCATGTGAGAACATGACTACATGCCACAGTCAAGGCGCCAATACATTTAGACCGGCGTTCGCCGGCGTCGCCGGCGAACGCCGGTCTAAATGTATTGGCGCCTTGAGACCGGCATCGCCGGCGTTCATTTCGTCGCGTCGCGCCGGCGCTGCCACCCCAGGCACCGGTCCTGCCATACACTAGCAGGCACGCGTCACGCTGCGTTGCTTTGACGCATGCACGTTTCAGCGTGTCCGGCGTCCCTTCGTTACAAATAAGGAAGACGCAGTGCTGTCTGGGTAACGCATCGGCGCGAATTGCAGCATGTCACGATTCGCACCTGCTGCCGTCGGGCGGCGCCGACGGACGCTGGTCATGCCGGTCGCTCCTTGCGTCAGACTATAGAGTGCTCGCGTTTTGCTAACGTAGTAACGCTGTGCCCAGCGCGCGCGCGCGCCAAAGCTACATTGGAGTTTATTGGGCCCTTCATGACGCGCTCGTGGTCGTTTTGCTAGCTCCGCATATACCAAATTTGGTGTTAAGTGACGTCAATATATGGCGAAAGTATATGACTGGTGCAAACATGATAATCCCGACACGCGTGTCATGTAAGAACATGACAACATACCAAGCTCATAGCGTGGTCGGCGTCGTTTCGGCCCCGCCGCGGTGGTCTAGTGGCTAAGGTACTCGGCTACTGACCCGCAGGTCGCGGGTTCAAATCCCGGCTGCGGCGGCTGCATTTCCGATGGAGGCGGAAATCTTGTAGGCCCGTGTGCTCAGATTTGGGTGCACGTTAAAGAACCCCAGGTGGTCGAAATTTCCGGAGCCCTCCACTACGGCGTCTCTCATAATCATATGGTGGTTTTGGGACGTTAAACCCCCCAAATAAATAAATAAATAAATAAATAAATAAATAAATAAATTAATCAATCAATCGGCCTCGTTTCGCTAGTTCCAAATATAATATATTTGGTATCGCGTGACGTGAATAGATGACAAAGGTAAACGACACATCCAAACATGATAATCATGACACGGAAGTCATACGGTATCATTTACCTCCGCCTCCTAACGTACTGCTGACTTTAAAGTGACATATAAACCTTTCTCATTCGTGCTTCGCATATCATAGATTCCCACTGCGCGTGGGATCTGCCAATTTTTTTTAATATTAAGACCAAACATGAAATAAAAGCATGCCTCAAACAGAAAATTCATCTATTTATTAGTGCGAACTCTTTCATTCAAAGTCTCGCTAGCCTCCGCGAGGTTGCACCTGAGTTATATGTGGGGTTTAACGTCCCAAAAGGGCCATATGATTATGAGAGACGCCGTAGGGGAGGGCTCCGGAAATTTCGACCACCTTGGGTTCTTCAACGTGCACCCAAATCTGAGCACACGGGCCTACAACATTTCCGCCTCTGTCGGAAATGCAGCCTCCGCAGCCGGGAAGCGATCCCGCGACCTGTGGGTCAGCATCCGAGTACCTTAGCCACTTGACCACCGCGGCGGGGTGCAGCATTGCACCTGATGCACGAAATAGAGCATACTATTACTACTTCATACATCCTGTACGCACGACCTACGGATTAAGCAGGTTCGCCCCTAAAATTGGACCAAACTACTAGGTTTGACGGTGGCTACCACATCGAAGCAGAGAATCTATTCTGTGCCTTCTGTCACTGCCTGCCGTGTGTACAGATGCTGGTTTTAGCCTATGCATTGCCTATCGTAGTTTTTAAGAGGGCAGCTGGGCTGCATTTTGTGACCGTGGTTTTCATTAAGTTGCATTGGAAAATGCTTTCTTTATTCAGAGTAGAGTACAAAAAAGGTATGGTTGATACCTTCATCACTACAATCAGTGTAACACAAAAATTAGTGTCTTGAAAGAACTAGATGATTGGTGGATACACCAGAGACTGTTAGCGCACCGTTTAGCGTTGATGCAACGACATTGGCTCCTGTCCTTACCGACGACTAGCGTCCATGATCAACATTAAACCTTCTATTGTGATAGCAATTACATGGACACTCTCAGCTGGGGTGCTCCGCAAAAGTCGGAGCTCATAATCATTCGTTCCCGCAGCCCCTCACCTATGCCGCCCATCACTGTACACGTGGATGGTATACCCATACCACAGGTCAGCCGTGCTCGCATCCTAGGCCTACACGTCCAGGCGGATGGCAGGTCTAACTATACTGTTTCCCTTCTATCCCGACAAACTGAGCAAATTCTGGCCATGATCAGGCGGATCTCTAACAGGCGCTCGGGTCTTCGAGAAGAGGACCTGCTGCGCTTGGTGGAGGCATGCATCATCAGCCGTCTTACATACCATCTTCCCTTTCAGCGGTTGACCCAAGCGCAACAACTTCGCGTTGATGCCCTCATTCGTAAAGCGACGAAGCTAGCCCATGGCCTACCGCACTATACTTCCACAAACAGTGTCCTTAATTTAGGAACGCATAACACACTAGGAGAACTACTAGAGGCGCATTGGGTCAGTCACCGCCAGCGCCTCTTGGTCACACGTACTGGCCGCTATCTCCTTGCACGGTTAGGGCACTCTGTCCCACCACTTGAACCTGAAGCCCGCCCAACGACCTTATCCCCCGCCCTACGTAAGGTACTGAATATTCATCCCTTGCCGCGTAATATGCACCCAGTGCAAGACAAAGGACGGCGTAAAGCTCGTGTGCGATACCTTAACCGCATGCTCGAAAACATCCCTGAATCCCAGGCTCTATACACAGACACGGCGCGCACTCAAGAGGGCTACACATCCGTAGTGTTGGATGGCACTGATTCCCTGAAGGACTCTGCTGCAATGCGCGGCACTAATGTCACGTACGGAGAAATTCTCGGCGTTGCTCTCGCCATTCGACACGCCGTTCGTGTCGCAGGGGAAGTGT